CTCGCATCCCTACAAAGCCGGGACGGAGCACGCCGGGTTCTCACCGGACCAGGCTTACCACATCACCAAGCGTCAAGCACCATGAGGTATTCGGCGAGTCGCATGCTGGGTGCGCTGCATCCTGCTAAGGATGTTCGGCATCTTGTGCTTACTTCCTTGCGTACGGATGACAGTAACTGCCTCAAGGATGCTTGACCATTTTAACACAAGGTGGTGCGATCATCCCCACTGCGCGAAGTGAGGGTTCTCGACCCCGCACAACATGATCTACTCGACCACCATTATGGTTACCGCCAAAAAAAAACCGGTAACCTGGTTGCCGAGTTCACGAAGTGAATTGGCTTGTTTGACAACGTCNAGGGGGGAACATGGGGGGGTGGGGATAGTCGCAATTGGTTCTTGGCAAAGGAAGCAACGCGCGCAAGATTATGGACCAAAAATCAGCGCATTCTTCAGAGGTCGCGCCAACTGAATGTATCGAGCACACGATGCGTGGCTGTCAAAGAACGGCAAACCAATCAACGGGGGACGGGGTGTAAAAGCGCCTCCCAGTATGCACCCACTTGAACGCGTTTTCTGTACCGTGGGACGAGAAGCCGTCCCGTCAACCCTTCTACGGTCAAGTGGGGTGCTTCGCGTTGCCGCCAGCTCTAGCACAAAGCCGTGCCGTCCCGGATATACCATGGAATATTAGCCCGTCCCGCCGAACTTCCGCGAAAGAGTCCTTCCAAGATAACCGTCCCACATCGTCCAGATACCTTAGACCGTGAGCCCGTCCCGCCAAAGTTCTTACGCGGAAATGCCGTTCCAATAGGGCCACCGTTCCGTTTATCACTACTGTACCATCCGTGGCGACGCACCTGTACGTAGATCCTGCAAAGCTGCTCCCACGCAAAGGCGTCCTCGCTGTTGAGCTCGATCGCCTTGCGCAGGAAGGACCGGACTTCCTCCGCTCCTTCCTTTTCGGCGTCCAGCTGGGGCAGCGAGGCACGTAGCACAGCGACAGATGCTGTTGGTGTTGTTGCTACTGCTGTTGATATTTGTTGTCGTTGCGTTAACTGGCGGGTGTTTTTTTGTTGCTTTGATATCATCGCGCACAATTGCGGTGTATTCCCAATTGCTAACGTCGCATGGGCATCAACAGCAAATAGTTCCGCTGTGAGAGGGTGCGAGGCTGCTGCACCAACGTGCCTCACGCAACACATAACACGAACAGTCTTTACATGACACACAGCCTACCTCCGTCACCAAACCTGTTCACAGCAACACGAAAAAAGAAAAAAAGAAAAAAAAGGAACAAGGACGAGCACTACCGCGCGACGATCGGGCCCTGAGGCACAAAAAGGCTTATTCAATGCCTGAAAGGGGTATCCCCTTACGCCCCCCCCTCCTTGTTGGCTGAAACCCGGACAACGTTCCGCCCACGCTAGCTACGGCCAACTACCCCCAATAAACTTAAGCACCTTCCGATGTTGCACTATCTCTTACCCTGTGTACAACCCCCCCGTCACACTGTATCTCCAACTTCCCCGGCATCTCATTCCCCTTCCCCCGACACGTTCCGTTCTCTCCACTTTCCTGTGCTTCTTGACCCTCTCCCTCCGACACTTTCCCCAGTATGCGTCTCCCCTTCATTCCATACCCAACCGATGCCTCCTTCCCTTTTTCCCACACCCTTGCCGTTGCTCCATGGTGCTCTGGTTCTTGATCCTCTCCCCCCAATGCTTTCCCAGTCTCCAGTATTCGTCTCCTCTTCACTCCATACCCAACACGCTTTCAGTCCACTCACCCTTGCCCTGTGAGCGAAGGAGCTGCCGTATTCTGGGTGGGCCTCGCCGGCTCTCGCGAACAAGTCCTTGGCCTATGCATGCCCAGGACACACGACAAACGATGCAGGACAGCAGGAGGGGGTGTACTCACGTTTTGCATGCCTTAGCCGTGGGTGAGACCAGACAGCGCCGCAGCTCAATGGCCTCGTATTTTAGCCCCGAGACCGTAGTGCCTGAAACACTACGGGGCTGTCAAACGGGCATCGCACGCATTAGAGTGCAACTCTAAGGGTGCTTAAGACCTCGACGTAACGTAGTACGTAACCTCAACTGTTCACCTGCCAAAACGTAAATGCGACTGTCCCGTGCAGCACGCACGCCCAGTAAACAAAGGCTGTGAGAACAAGGACAAACACACCAACAAAAAGAACACTACCGAAAACAACGACTGACCGCATCCATGTCCTCCTTGTCCATGCAGACCCAGGCCATCTTGATGAGCACATCGGCGGGGTACTCTTCCCCCTCCTCCTCCATCCCCTCCCCGCAGCGCCTGTACGCCTCCATGGCCTCGTCCAGCTTTCCCGACAGCTGAAGGAACGTGCCCTGCCACTCCCAGACAGACGCCTTAACATCAGACGGAACCTCCTCAGCTCCTGCTTGGGCGATGGGTGGGGAGTGGTGGACATCGGGTGGATAGCAGATGTCCATACCACATGCGGCAAACAAGAAATGCTTCATCAAATAATGAAAACAAAGATTCCAGCTGGCTTCCTTCCACTCGCTGCGGAGATTTCGGCATATCCCTTTCGACGGTGGTTATATCTCGAGCGGGTAGAGTCTCCCTGAGATCATGTTTACTTATAAAAAAAAAAAATTAAGTCTGGTGAGATACTGAGGAGATCGTGAGAAAAAAGTACAACCCACCCAGCCGCATACTGATTGCATTTTCCCTTGGGCTAGCGGGGCCAACAGCCATCAACGCCTTGTGTCGGGGGGCGAGACGATCGTCTAGGTTTGAACCGTTCCTCGAGGCAATACTTGTAGAAGTCGACACAGGGTTGTCTTTTCCCCAAAATGATCTCGTGCCTTTCGTAATGTTTGTGCCAGGGTATCACACAGCTTTCTCACCTGCTTCAGATGTATCGGCTTCGGTGAGGGTGGACAGAAGCTCTGCCGCCTCGAAAATGTCCTGGGTTTCCAGCAAGAAACGTAACGCACGGGGGGATGGGGGGCAGCAAAGTTGTTGAGAAATGTGACAAACCTCAAAGATTGTTGGACCGTCACACAACAAAACAATTCTCATGGCAACACCACACCAAACGATACCACACGCATGGCACGAAAGCAAAAACATTAGGGTTGTGTATCGGAGCCGATATGTTTGATATAATCGGACGATATATATCGTATCGAATATCTATTGTCAGCCCCGATATGTTGGGCGATATATTTGAGGGGGCTCCGTGAATCAAAAAGGGGGCATATGTTACAACAGTTACACGTTTGTGACGCCCACGCGGAGTCGCCTTTTAGACGAAAACGTCGAGCTCCTCGTGTACTTGCGCAACGTGTGGGGTGTAGTAGAAGATTGGAAGAAGAGTGCTACTCGCGAAAAGAAGATTGCTGTTTCGATGCTCTAACCAGCACGTCGTCGTGATTGTCGTGGATTTTCCGCTTTTTTTGTGTGTGTGGAGCAGGTCACGTGTGGACGGTTGGTTGTTACCCACCGCAACGTCGAGAAGTTATCTAGATCTAGATCTCGCATTTTCGAAGTACGGTAGTACGGCCGACCGGATGTCTGCGTCTGAAATTGTTGCTGGCCGGGCGGGTGGTGGGCTTTGGGCTTGGGTTGAGAAGAACTTAGGCTGTGTTGTAGAAACATGACAAGATTCAGAGAGAGAGGGAGGACGAGGGAGGAGGTGGGAACGTGTTTTGGAAGCAGCTTCGTGAAGACGTTAAAACGTGGTCGTGTTGTACCACCCAACCAAAGCTTCGAAAGAGAACTGACTAATCATCTGTCATTTATTGTCGATGGTTTCCAAGTTTTAGCGTTTTTCAGTAGTTTTCAGGATATCACCCACCAAAAAATGGCATGGTCGAAGTGAAAAAAAAAAATCACCCAAAAAATATGCTCTAGTGAAGCCAAATCGCGTAAAAAAACGCCTCCGGCGGGGCGCCTCCAGCGGGGCCCCTCACCAGCCGGGGGGCCGAGGGGGGGCTCGCGAAGCGAGCCCCCTAACCACGGCTCGCTTCGCTCGCCGATATATCGAAAAAATATCGTTATATCGGCTGCGCCGATCTCCGATACATATTATATCGTTCGGCTGCGCCGATACACAACCCTTAAAAACATGGACACAACTCTACAGAAGGGGGCATGCGAAAAAACTGCGCACGACCGGCCAGCTGGCGGGACAATGCCGAGAAGAATATATACTTCTAGTATATATGCATTGTGTATATATGGGAAAAAACGTGGCGCGAGACGGCGTCGGTACACACATTGGGGGGGTCCCTCGAAAGCGCCGGTATGTGCCCGCCAGACTCACCGGCACTATACCGGCACCCGACGCTACTCCGAGAATTAGACAACTTGAAAACAGTATAAGTGACGCAAGATATCATACCTCCCTGGACCGACGTTCAAAGCTCGATTGCTTCACAGCAGAAAGAGGTGGCAGTGTATTAAGATGGCGGAGTTGGAGCAGTCTCGTCGATAGCTTCTCGAACACGCATCGTTTTCTATTGTTGAGCGACTTGTAGGGGGGGGGGGCGTCTACAACACCCCCGTGCATCGTGACGTACGTAATCGAGCGTTGAAAGCCGGTTCGGGGTGTTGAATCTGCAGTAGTAGTGCCACCAACCATATTCGGTCCGTGAAACTGGCACTGAAACCGTGGCGTTACTCAACCGGCACTATTGCGGGACCCGTGCCGTACACACCTCTCTTGAGCCGTCGTAGTTGCGCTTGACCATACGGAGCAGGCCGCGGTCAAGAAGGGAGGACACCCTCGAGGCACTAGTTGAAGTGGCAGAGACGGACCCATCCCCTTCCTTGCCGGCCTTCTCGACGTCCTCCAACTCCCGAGTGATCGCCGTCTCTTGCATGCCCTTGTACCGTCGCTGAAATAATAAAATGAAAAAAAACACAACGTCAATGACGACAGCAGCATCAGCATCAGCAACAGCAACAGCAAAAACAATGGCACACATAACCGTGCATCAATTGGAACGCGCGGCGTACTGTATTGATGGGTACCCAATCCTTGCAATTCGCGATCGAAATAGATGCCCATGACAAACACAATATCCCTGTATTTTATTGATTCGAAATGAAAGCATAGTAGTCGTCAACTTTCGTACACGGCAATCATGGCTTCATGAATCACCCGTTTGCCCTTTTCTCAGGGATTAGAAACCCTCCAACTCCTCTGTTCGGGAGGCCACAACGGTCTTTCGAACCAGTTCGTCTAGTCTCAACCTTCTTGGATCAAAGCATTAACTAGTTTCGCCTTCTTCGTGCCAGCCGATCGACATCGCACAAAACCCTTTTACTAAACCAGCGGTTCGCCAGGCCAATATCTTGAGGAGGCCGAATACGGTTAAGCTTGCCTCCTTGGAAAGAGCCCAACCGTGATAGTCAACGCTCGTCATGAACGACAAAAACCCTTGGAAATTTCAAGTGCAGGTGGGTGTTTAGGTTGCATAATCGGAACCCGATGGTCATGTTCCGGGGACCCTGGGGTATACGCTGCGTGTCACTCGCTGACCACGTTATATCGATGGAGTTTGCTCAGTCAACCCGCGTGTGTCACTCGTCAATCATGTCAAAGGTCTTGAGAGTCAGCCTTCCCTCCTCTTCTCTTCCGGCCTCTGACGATGCCGCTGCTGCACCCAAATAATAGAGTTGATTCCCGCGGCTTTCCAACACATCCGTCCTGCGTGTGCGAGCCCTTACAGGTTCTTCGATACCACCCGACACTCTACCGCGCCGCGGCTCACCACCTTTGCTTCGGCATAGCCCCCCCGCAACTTTCGCAAAGCGACCACATCATCGTACCTCGAGCTGGGCGAAAGACCCGAAGCTCCGGAGGAGCTCCATCACGACCTGCTTCACCAGGGGCTTGAGCTTTTCGGTCCCCGCCCCGGTACCGCCTGCCGCCGCCGCCTCTTTCTCCCTCTCGGCTGCCTGTTCCCTCTCTAGCAGGATGGCATCTGCTCGTTTCGAGGCCACCTTTCGCGTGCGTCATTGTAGTGTTGGCGGCGGCGTGCGGATGTGATTGTAATGTAAGCGGGGATGTGCGTGTATGAAACAGTTCTCAGATGTAGCCAATCATGTATTGTCGTCTGCCCTCCGTGTGTTGGCGCTGGCGCGTGTGTCAGCAGATATTTGTTCATGCCGACATTCTGCAATTATCATTGTTGGGGCCCTCTATAGTGCGGGACTGTGCTGGCGGCCCATTTTTTCCCGCCCTTACAGCAGGTACCCACTCTTACTCAGTGCAACCAGCAACTCGACTGCGTTGAACAACTCGATTTTTCCATCTGCGCCAAGAGATTGCACATGCCCTACACTCGCCAACCCCCCCAGTTGACACAAACGTCGCAAACGTATCACGCTCAACTTGACGCCGGTGGGCACAAACGTTTTGTCTTATTCCCACTGCTGGTTCTGACTGCACGAGAGTGCAATGCCCCGGGTATTTAGCCGTACGGGTGCCTCCACGAATACTCGTGGTTCTCGACACGCCAGCGTCAGCACGCAAGGCACTCGTTGGTTTCACGCGAACGACAACACATGGCGCGCACGTGCATACCAGGCGGCCTAGACGACAACATCACGCAAAACTAGCCGGCACGGTCCCAGCAAGGGCAAGGCGCATCGGTCCCAGCACAACGGCGTCTAGCACGAAAGGTGACCAAACTGCTATCCAGAAACGCCATGTCCGTAACAAAAAAACACTCAGAGGTGACGTCATATTATAGCTACCTTTTGCAGAAGACCTTCGAGGTTTGCTGGAGGTGCGGGAGGCGTCAGCGGTTCCGATGGGTTCAACGCCGCCTGAGCAGTTACGGCAGTTAGGGGGTCAGAAGTTGGACTAATAGGAGGAAGGGGGGGGCGAGTGGAGCGGCGGGGTGAGGGGAGGGAACGGTACAAAAACTGCCATCCAACCTGGAGACCACGAACGAAAAGCCCAAAAGGCGCGAGACAAACCACAGACGAAGGCGAACAGAAGAGACGAGTCGTCCGATCAAGCGCACGCCTTCGAAGCAGACAAAGGAGGGGTCCGCGGCATCCAGGCAGACAAACACCAGGTAGCGAAAGCACGCTAAACCCAAGAGAACTACCAGACGAGGCCCGCTGTGGTTCGCGTTGCGACCATCCTCAAGCACACACGTCGCGGCCATTCCCCTACCATTACTTCCCCCAGATACAAACCAGTTCACACGGCGAGGGCAACAAAAGCTCCGCGCGCCACTGTTACAATAGTGTACATCCATTACGCAAAACCGAACAAGCACCTTCCACCCGACAAACCACGGATTGGTTGTACCATTACATTACGATGAAACACGGATCAATACGTCATATTCTGAATAAAGTCGGATCTTTGCCTGGGCGAGATCCCTCAGAAAACACAACCTTGCATTTCAATTTGTAAACTAAGTAGTATCAACTAAAGACCAACCGTTGCGTGGACGCGATCCCTCAAGAAACACGAGCTTATATTCTTCTTCGTAAACTCAGACGAAGCCCAGACATATTCGTCTGAAGTAAGGCCAAACCTTTGCCTGGACGCGATCCCTCTCCAGCAGCAGGTGCGCGCAGACCTCGCTCAGGGCCTCCTCGTACTTGCCCATCGCCTCCAGCACGCGGGACTTGCGGACGCGGGCGAACTTGTGCCCGACCTCCCGGGAGAGGCACATCGAGCAGTCCGCCAGGGCAAGGGCGTACTGACCGTCCTTCTCGTAGGCAGCCCCCCTGGCGAGTGTTTGAGGGGCGGAGTCGTCGTTGACATTTGTGTTTTTGTTGCTGCTGCTGTTGCTGTCCTATCTTGTCTTCCTTTCTGGTGAACGTCCTCCTCGAAAATGAAAAAAATACTTGAAACATACGACAAAAAAATAAACAAACCTCCTGACATCTTTGATCCCAAGTGTCGGGCTCTGTTGCCCGACCAATGCCTCCCGTAGCTTCCGTTCTAGCCCAGTCGGTAAGAAACATCACCCCGTGGTCGCGACCACGGCTGGTCCAACCCAACTACTAAAAGAAAAAAATCCCGAAAACGCGGCTGGTCCAACCCAACTGCTGAAAGCAAATCCCCACAGCAGCAGTGGTGGCACGACCCTCGACAAGGACAACATCTGAAAACACGGCTGGCCCAACTCAGCCAAGACTAGAACAACAAAGACTGCAGGTTACAACCTGGGGTTTCACGAGGGCACGAACATTTTGATGGTGGTGTCTTCACAGTAAAAGACCGTTCCGTTCTCTCTGCCCAGTACCTTCTTCTGTCCGTACTAGTTTTCACACTTGACGGGATCGATTCCCGTGGCCACAGGCCAACTTACCCAAAAGACGGAACAAACGAAAATGAAAATGGACCCGAACGCCCCGCCCGGACATGAAGCGCGCGAAATGCACGTATATCGGTATATTTATCCAGCGCGAGGTTACCGCTCGAGACGCACGAGGTTACCGCTCCAGACGTACCTGTTGTTGAGGAGGGCCGTGCGCTTGTTTTCGTGGTTGGGCAGCTCGTCGCAGAGCTCGAGAGCGATGCCGTACTGCTCGGCGGCAAGAGCGTACCGCTGGCCGGTGAAGAGCTTCTTCGCCTTAGAGTTGGCCCGGTTAAATCGCTGACATGGTTCGGCGGCGCAGGCAGGGGGGAGCGCAAGGAAAATATGAGTTGGCCCTTGGCCCGGTTAAACCGCTGAAATGTTTCGGCCGCACAGGCAGGGGGGAGCGCAAGGAAAACACTAGTTGGCCCGTTTAAATCGCTCAAATGTTTCGGCGGCGCGGGCAGGGAGAAGCGCAAAGAAAACATGACGCCATACTATATCCTACTACAGTAGTAGTAGTATTTTGTGTCAGCGCTCACACACAGCATTTCTGGCGGGTAGGAGCTACCTCCAATCCATGGCAAGTCACACAGAAGGTGCTTGCACGTGTAACTACCGGTCAATGACAACATGCAATGTTTGAGATTACTATGCTTGTGCTCAATTTTTCGTTTTGGAGAGGACATGGAAGAAGGTACCTGCGGGAAAGAGGGAAAAAAACGAGGTAAACCTCAACCCGAGGGCGCCACTACACCCCCCCCCATCCCTTTGAGTCACTCTAATCCCAAGGAAAACGAGGACATACATGTATGTTGTATCTGCCAAGAACAAGTCGCAAAATCGAACTTGGTGGACCCAGTTTCTCTGGCCAACACCAACCACCCGATGCCCCCTTTACCTTCTTCAAATAATCGTCTTCCTTATGTCCGACACGCAGCAGTAGCGAGAGGCACACTTCTAACGTCGCGTGAATGTTGCACAACCAGCTGCTGCTGCTGCTGCTACTGCAAATATTGCTGCTGAGCACACGTCTGCCGTGGTTATTCCCCCGCGTTTTTCATGCGTTGTGTCTTCTATAAAAAATGCCCGTCTTTCTCGTTTGTTGTTGTCGGCTGTCCTAGCTGGCTTAGAACCGACACACACAAACCCTGCGTTGTGCCTTTCTGCTGCCCCTCAACACGCCCCGCGGTCAATCCTCCCCCTGACATCGAACACTCACCACAATAAGTGCTTCCCCCTCCTCAGCCTTCCCTTGGCCCACAGCAACCCCCCGCGCAGCCGCCGCCGGCGGCGGCACAGAGGCACCGCCAGAACCAGGGGCTGCCCGCGAAACATACCCGTCCCCGCTGTCGCCTTCTCCCGTCCCCTTTTCGGTGGAAACCCCACCCGCAAGCTTGTCCCTGTCATCCTCGTCGTCGATGATTTTGTTGGAGGCGGCCACCCCTTGCGTGTCGGCGGTGGTGCCAGGAGAACTAGCGAAGGGTTTCCCAGTGGATGATCCGGCGAAGCTGAAACGCCTGCGGCAGACGGGGGGTAGTTGCAAGGGTTGGTGGTATATTGTTGGAGAAGGTGATGGGAACTTGTGTGGCATGGAGGGGTTGCTACCGCTACCTTACTGCTGTGTTGGACACGTTTTATTAGTGTGATATTGTTGTGTTGATGATACCACAATAACGCAAGTTGCAGAAGATATCACCCACCCTGGACCGATCTCCAAAGCTCCATTACTGCCGAAATTCAGTATGCGTTTTACCTGCTGCTGTTGTTCAGGAGCATTCTTAAGGTTAATTGCGTCGTGCTGCTTGTGCTGTGTGCATAACTCGACGCTTTCGTGATACTGCCGCGAAGCGAATCCCATGTTTTCCATGGTTCGCATTCTCTCTACAGCGTTATGCACTCGTGGCACTGGAAAGCAGTCGAAGGGATGTGCCCACACCGGCAAACCAAAAAAATCGTCGCCCAGCATATGTCAAGCGGCTTTACACTTGTGCGTGCGTGTGTGGTTTCACCAGGTTCGCCCTGTTTGCCCTCGGAGTGACACGCAGAGCCTGTTCGCGTTTGTTGCTCCGCCAAAGATGAAAAACCTAACGCACTTTCATTGGTCAGCCGGTTGGCGCGGTCGATACTCGTCGTGCAAAGCCGCGCACAGCACCAGTAGGAGCTATGACGCACAAACGCACAGAGAAGGCAGAACTGAAAACCGCGACACGCAACAGCAAACAAACGTTTCGCTAAACATACAACAAACATACACCAAATCCAAACGCGCCAATGCGATCAATCCACATCAAAGTTACAACAGCGTGCCCAGCCCCACGCGCACAGCTGACAACAGAGTTACATAAGCATCGACCTATAACGAGAAAAAATGCAGGGGCAGCCTCACCGCAACATGTTCCCCCCCGTTGTAGACATCGATATTCTTGCGAGGAATGGCGTTAAAATGTACCACAGTGGGCGTCCCTGTTTAGTGCCGGTACTGTACATATGTGCCCAGATTATTCACCGGCATTACGCCAGACTGGCACTGTTCAAAGTACCGACAACGACCTGGAAATTCCGCGTGTGCCCGCCAATAACACTGGCACTACACAGGGCATTTGACACTTTCAACAAAACTTATCAGAGACCCCCTATGCACTACCTCTCGGTGGTATGCTACCAAAAGATGGAAGCATGACAAAACCTCGGTTGGTCAACAGAGTGCGTCGACTGCGCCAAGCGGCTCACCGACGAATTTATGCCAGTCTTTCGCCGTGACAAACTATGAAACCGTTGCGAACATCGGTCGTTCCAATCCGCGGCCCCCCCTATGGGGGTTGGCTGACTTGGCACAGACAGCAGTCGCGGACACGGTTTCGAACGGTCATCGCCCTGGGCAGGCGAAAGACCACGCAGCGTCACAGCAAGTGTAGTGTTGGCATTACTTATTTCGCGTTGCAATGCCCTCGGTACCGAGTCGTTATGGCCTGCATCGCCTTCTTTTCAATCACTGCTGTGACCGCCTTGAACTCGCAAAGTATACCGCAGATCGTAATCAAAAGGCTACCTGAATACGGACCCGTCGAGAGTCTGGGCCAAGGCACACTTGGAGCCATTGATCGATGATTCTAGCTCGACTTTTCAACAACCAAGAGGCTGCCAATATCGAAAACGGTGGCATTGGAAAAGATCTAGAAACACATATCATCGAGAGAGAGCTGTCTTTCCATGCACGTGTCCGGTCGTGTTTCGATGTTTCGGTAGCACCCTGATCGGTGGAGCAACCCATCTTCACAAAAAAATCGACCGCACGCCCTTCCATTATCGTTTACGTTTGGCCCAATGTTGTTGCGCTTGCTGCATGTGAGCATGCGCGATCGTCCCTTCATTTGCTACGAAACCAGTGGATCACCACAGGCATAACACCCCAGAGCTGCCTGGGGTCCACATAGACATGCAGCAGCTGCGACATCGTTTCCCGAGTGTGTGAGGGGATTGACTACTACTGTACCCATCGCGGCTCCCACAGACGCCAGCCGGGGTCACAAGCAGAGCCGCGATCTATCTTCCGCATATATGTACAAAGGGGGTTATTGGTAGGAGGGCTTCCAAACGCACTACGGTGAGAGTTGAGGCACGCACGACCATCTTCGAAGGAGAGGGCACAAGGCGCCCGCCCGGTAAGCTCGCTACCGTACAGCCGGGGATGTTTGCCTCTTTTTCTCCCATGTACTGCTGCTGTACCTATCAACCACTTGTGGACGATGGGTGTGACTCACGAGACTATAATATCTGCCTAACGAGCGATTCGAACGCGAAATAGGTGTAGGCTTAGAGCTGACACCGCATCACAACGGGATATGTATAGTCTAGACGCCAGCGGGCGGGTGGGTACGCGGGGTTCGTGTCAACATCGGATGCTGTTACGCAGGGCAATGGACGAGATGAAACACAAAAACAGAGGTGGAGCTACCCTTCTTCTTACCCAGAGAAGACGATCGCGCAGCATATGGCTGCCGTAGCCACCAGGCCAACAGTTCCTAGCACGGCAAGCTTGGATTGATCCATACTCCAGCGCCGTCTCCCCTCTCGCGGTGGCCCGGGACTGCGGAGATGATGCTTCTGGACGCGGCGCGCAGGCACTGGGCAGCAGGCAGCAGGCAGCAGGGATCGAGGGACCCTGCGAACTGCAGATGTTTTGATACCCCGGCCCATCCCAATTCCTATCTGGGAACAGAATCAACCTGCCGGCCGCGAACCGGGCACAGCAGCAGCAGCAGCAGCAGCAGCAGTGGACGATGCACCGCAACGTAGCCTCGCGAAGGCCGCCTAGATCCGCGGGGAGGCGCAGGACGAGAGCCTCGGCTAGTAGCAGCAGCAGCCAGCAGAATGCTCGGGGTGCAGCTGGGAATCGCAGCATATGGACGACACCGAAGGTATTTTCCTTTTTTGCTCTTTTTCCGCGCCCACAATCGATCAGCACGTCAAAGTCATCACCGCGTGCTGCGGATGCGATGAACGAGGGCAGTATGGGCGTGACTTTGCCATGGTTCCAGCGAGATGAGTTGCTTAATGTTTTGTGGTGTATCCTGCATGGGTGACCACCCATGGAGCTCTAACGAGAGATCTATTAGTAGGCAATGGCAGCTAAATAAATAACTTGCGCACAGGCACTTGTTATGCCTATATCCATAAATTCAGGTCGTTATTTGGGATACAGCGCGGCGGAGCGTCTCCACGGCTCTCCATCAGGCGTTTCCCAGGCATAACTAGCGGCGAAGATTGCGCTTGACACGAAGAGGAGCCCACGTGTCTTCTCCTTCGCAACAGCAGTATGTACAAATAAACATTTTCCCATTTCTCCGCACATTCTATTTACACCAACACCTCCTCACTCTCTCACGGAATGTTCATGTCTTCATGGTTGTATAGTTGTTTGTTGATATTGTTTCTGGCATTAGTTCTATAGTCCTCAAAAAATGGGGAGCCCGTGGTCTCAAAACTCGGCACGTACGACGCCGCTGGAAAAAAAACAATGATAGGGTACAAACCACTCGGAAAAAGAAAAAAAAATGATAGAAAGAAAGAACAGGTATCGCACCGACCGTTCGAGAAAGAGCCCTCGGAAACCGATCAAAATAAAACAAAAACAAAATAAAGGAGGACGCTTCCCACACCCGCCTAAAGAAAAAGTCAAAGGGTAACGTACCAGCACCAGGCACTACGCACCAGGGCATGAGAGTCACGGAGCAAACAGGACAAAGAGGCGGCAGATGGGCAGACAGCCAGACGTACAAAAGCAAAGGCAGCAGCAAAGCGAGATCAAGGTACCCAACACAGCAGAGTAGGCAGGGAGGTCATGAAAAAATGAAACACAGCACAGAGGCCGAAGGCAATACAAAGGACATACATAACGGAGTATAGCATACAGCAGGGAGGGAAACAGGGCGCAACAACATCAGCCGGGTACATAGTTCGCCACAAGTGCTGCCTCGGCCGCCCTCGGCTCTCTTTCTCTTCGGTCCTGAGATGGCCGTACTCTCTGCTTCTGCTTCCCTCGCGCGCTGGCGCTTCACGGACGCGTCCGCCTCCTGCCTGTGCCATTTCCTCATGAACCATGCCGCCCCGTCCTCGACCTTGGTGTACCACACCTCCGGATCCTTGGCGTCTACATAGCTCGTTGTTAGTAAACCTGATCGACTTCGTAAGTCGCGAGGGAAGGGATTGCTGCACCCTTCTCGCGAAAAACATATCTAAGGCAAGAACCGCAGAGGGGGTCCAACCCCCCCCTCCTATGTGACCCCGGTTGGGTCGTCTAGCTGGTAGAAGTGGAGGATAAGGGCCAGAGGGGCAGACGACAGAGTCCAACGATGGGAGAAAAACAAAACAAAAAACATACAAGCTGGGCCAGTCAAGTTGCATGCAAAAAGGTTGATGACCAGTTACACCACGATTTCTACGAAATAGAACCTGAAATTTGGACATGTGGTCGGTATTAGTACAACCAAGACCTTGACTGGAAGCACCCTTTTTTTTTCTTTTTTTTTCACGAGGTAGCCCTTCTATAGGACAAATGGTAATCCTTTTTTTTTTGTAGGGGGCTTAAAAGAAAAGAAAAAGGTGCTTCCAGGCAAGGTCTTGGTTGTACTAATACCGACCACATGTCAAAACTTGAGATTCCAACTCGTAAAAGTCGTGATGTAATTGCGATAACCTCACATTTCCTTGGCTATCTTGTGCGTCAGATTCTGTAAGAGGCCATTTCTCTCGGTAGAAGATGATTTGAGGCTTGTAACAATCATCATTTTTTTCGCACTGCTCCCAGGTAAGTGCACACCAAGTTTCAGCTTATTCGGTGTAACTTTTTTATGCTGATTTCAGTACCGGAAGTATCCCCCCCTACGCCGCCAACTGATGGTTTATTAATAGTACCTTAATCAACTCAGATTCGAACAATTCTGGCACCTGCGCTTCCCATACGGTCTCATGAGAGCAGCCAAAAAAATTCAAGCCCAAATCCGTGGAAACGACAGAATGAGACTCGAACGAACGAAAGTGAGCTTTTCGCCTGGCCCAGCTTGTGCATCCTGTAGATGTTCAGATCAGATGTATTATCATTTGNTTAATAGTACCTTAATCAACTCAGATTCGAACAATTCTGGCACCTGCGCTTCCCATACGGTCTCATGAGAGCAGCCAAAAAAATTCAAGCCCAAATCCGTGGAAACGACAGAATGAGACTCGAACGAACGAAAGTGAGCTTTTCGCCTGGCCCAGCTTGTGCATCCTGTAGATGTTCAGATCAGATGTATTATCATTTGAATGGTGAAACCAGTTCCGATCTTTGCCGGTGTACCTTCTAACTCCTGTACTCGTGCAACTGAAGCGGACAATGCCCGCGATGGCAGGCCCGCTCCCCACAGAAAGGGTACATTTTTGACGAAAGTCGAATGGACTATACCGCATTCATTGCTCAAGATACCACCCCCCTGGTCCAACGGTTATCCTTGTGAAACGTAACCTGGGCCGGCGAAAACCCAGCATATCGCTCCGTCCCGACGTTGTAGAGATGCGAGATCACGGTCCAGCGACGACAACATGCATTTACATGAGCGCACCCCCCGTGGACCGAGTTTCACGGCTCGATATTCCACCAAAAACGGGATGCCAGAGTATGAATCACCATGGGACGCGTTTTCGGAATGGTTTCGACGAGGCGGTTCCACAACGCCACCGTTTGTGGCACCACGCATGCTGCATCTTGCCGCGGAGTAATCGAGCTTGGAAAATCGATCCAGGAGGTGTGGTATTTTATGCAATCTATGCGCAATGGGACCGAGAGCCGATCACCCTTAGTCCCGACCAAACCATTAGTGTTGTTGTTGTTTTTGTTGTCTTCACATTGAAGACCGTTCCTTTCTCTCTACCCAGTACCTTCTTCTGTTCGTACTTCACGGGGTCGACTCCCGTGGGCACATGCTAACTTGCCCAAAAAAATGTAGTGTGCAAAAGTAAAAGGACAGACGATGATTCCCAGCCAGATTTCGCGTTAATAGGCGGCACGGCGGACACGATGAAGATCGATATGGGCGGATCGGTACACAGCAGCGCCGACCTTTCCCACACATGACGCGCGATGCCAAGCAAAATGAAAATGAGGATCCACGATTACCGATCAAGGTTTAAGAAAATCGCATGATTCTACATCCTTCCCCCCCCCATTCGGTCATCGTCGGATTTGCCTTGGCTATATGCCATTTTCCCTACAGGTACTTGACACTGGTGTCCAATTGGAACTCTGTGTGGTGGGGCTCAAGGCAAAGATGTACGTACCTGTCTCCTCCATTAAGTTATTACAAGACGTACACATTGCCCACAACCCTGCTGACAATGCCGGAGTACTATCTAGTGTTAATATTCCTTGTCAAGTTCTCGCCGGTTAGACTCTCTCTAGCGCCGACGTGGGAAAAGGCACCCATCCGAGTGTCGAATATACTAGGCATAGCGTATCATCGATGAAGTGTGCCGCAATGGGGGCAAAGGGTACGCCATGGGCGGCAGGGGGGGAGTACTCTTATGTTTTGGATGCCTTAGCGGTTAGACCATTGACCATGCGTCCTCTAGAGGACGGCGCGTTGTTCCCACAGGACCGATCACCGATGGCCAATCGTTCCTTTCTACTTTGCCAAAGGTGCCTCAAAAATGTCTTCCCTGGTCTGTCTATCCTAACGATATCCCTTCCCGCCTTTTCAACCCACCTCCTATGCCCCAGTACAGCTACCGTCCTTTCCTCTCCATTCCATGCCTCAAACATCTCCCTGTACGTCCCATCTATTTTTNGTTCTTTCAACATTCGGCACACTTCTAGACCCTCCTTATCCTTGGCTTATTTCCTTAGATTCTGTTCTTTGCGCTCGGCGCAAGCAACAGATATCTTCTCCTTGAACCCCTGTAGACTCTCCGTTTCCAGCGTTTCATCTTCGTCGATGTCGAGCCCCTTCCATACGTCCTCTACAACCTTGACCCATTCCGTGGGTTGTCTACCCCTCTTTTTGTTTGCCCACTTCGCCTCCCATACAATTCTCGGCAACCTCTCCTCTCCCATCCCGCACATGCGATACTGCCATGTCAGCTTCCTCGCGTCTCTTCCCGACCGTAGGGATTGGATCCCCAATTCTGCCCTGACGGCTGCATTACTTGTGCGCTCGGAGCATCCTACGATGTCGCTGATTTTATCTGCACCGCCTCGAGTTCTTTCACTACCTTCTTGTTTCCTTCCCGTACTTCTCCGGCGTACTCTAGCGGCGGTACGATTACGCTCTTCAAAACCGTCAATTTGATGCGTGTATCGAGGTGCCGGTTTGCGA